CCTCAAGCCCCAATTAAACCCCAATTGGGCGAGGATGACATATGTTGAATCTATCTAATTTTTCGGTTCCTCTTACAGTCTCCCCGGCTTAGCTGCGAGTTCTATGAGCTAGCCAATCACTAACCTATGAAACTCTTCCTTTTTTAGTTGTCGGATCACGTTAAGATTAAGGTAAGTAGTACGATAAATTTGTGCAACGCCATATCCGCTGAATAGGGCATATACGTGAGTTGACGCGATGTAGTAGTGTTTCGAAACAAAGGAAACTCTTTCTAGTTGGGTAAGCAGCATTCCGAGATAGTAGGCATATACCAAAGACTGAATACATTGTTGTGTACATTGTAGCCAACGTAAGTGTCGATACATGCTATGCATTCATCCTTGAGTTTCGTTCCTGCTAGCCATTTTAATGCAGAATGGTCGGTGACGAGTATGAACGGCTTATAGCCTAAATAGTGATGGAAGTATTTTACCGCCCAGACTACTGCTAAGCATTCTAATTCCGTAGTGGTGTAATTTCTCTCTGCTTTATTTAGTCCCCTACTGGCATAGGCGATCGCATATTCCTTGCGATTGTCGTCTGTTTGGGCTAAGACCGCTCCTAACCCGATCCCAGACGCGTCGGTGTGTACATAGAATGTTTTATCAAAATCGGGATAGCGCAATATCGGTACTTTGATTAAGTGAGCCTTGAGAGTGTCAAATGCGTGTTGTTGTTCTTTCTTCCATTCATATAGTTCGTTTTTTTGTAATAACAGGTGTAGCGGTCGTGCAATAGTGGCGAACTTTTGTATGAAGCGTCGGTAATATGAGGCTAGTCCGATAAATTCCCTGAATTGCCGTAGATTTTTAGGAGTCGGGAAATCTTGTACTTTCAAAATTTTTGCTTCGTCGGGCCTAATTCTTTCTTTTTCTACTATGTGCCCTAGAAAGGTAATCGTTGATAGGAAGAAACAGCATTTTTCTAGATTATGCTTTAGATTGGCACTTCGCAACTTCTCAAAGATTTGCTTCAGGTGTTTAATATGTTCATTCACGGTCTGTGAGTAAATGATGATGTCGTCAAGATATACTGCTATGAAATTCCCGATGTGTTCATGTAGGATCATATTCATCAGTCGTTGGAATGTTGCCGGAGTATTGCACAATCCGAATGGCATTACTCTAAATTCGTATATTCTGAATTTAGTGACGAATACTGTTTTTTCTTGGTCTTCCTGTCTCATGGCCACTTGCCAATAATCACTGGCTAAGTCCAAGTTAGAGAATATTTTGGCGTTTCCAAAAGTTTTCAACAGGTCATCAATTCTTGGAAGAGGGTAAGCATCTCATTTTGTCACCATATTTAGTTTTCGATAATCGACGCATAGGCGTCTTTTTCTATTTTTCTTTGGGACTATAATGATGGGGGAAGCCTACAGGCTAATGGATACTTGGATCAGGTCCTGTTCTTCTATTTGCTTCAGTTTGTTTTTCACATATTCATTCTCATCTGGGGACATCCTATATGCGTTCTGTTTGATCGGTTTGGCGTCTCCGGTGTCAATTGTGTGCTGAACGACACTTGTTCGTCCTAACCCTTCGAGGCCTTCGATAAAAAGGTCTTCTTCATTCTTGAATAGCTTCCGTACATCGCCCTTGTCCTCTTCTCCAAGCTCGGTATTTTTCTCTATTAGACTTTCGATTCATTCTTTCGTGATCAATTCAGGTTCTTTTTCCCCTTCTAGCGTAGGGATCTCCTTCACGTTAGTGAGGTATATTGCTGGACTTTCCATTTCTTCCCAAGGGTTCTCGTATAGTTCTTCGTCCGAAAGCACGTTACCAGTATAGTAATCATCTCTTTCGTCTATTTTTCTTTCTCATATTCAAATTCGTCAAATAAGTCAGTCTCTGTGCTTTCCTGATCGCTCTCAGGTTCCAAGAGGGACTCCGTACCATGGTGGGAAATCGGCACTTCTATATCTTCCCCTGCGTATCATAAATATAGCTTCTTTTCATCGAAGTGCATTCTGGCTTTAGATTTCTGGAACCAATCTGTTCCTAGTAGTAGCGTTTCGTCCCTTGATTCCATGACTTGTAGGTCGATAGGGATCCCTACTTTCTGGACCGAAATCTCTATATTCTTGACTTTTCCCAGCATTCTCTCCCGGGCTTCTGTCGCAGTGACGACTACCGTATTTGATTTTTCGTTGATCCGAAGGTTTAATTTATCTAGCAGCTTCTTTGATATTAGACTGACAGCCGCGCCAGTATCCAATATAGCTATCACAGGTTGCTGATTAATTTGGACATAGCATCAGGAGGCTGTTGTTCGTTCCCCTGGGTTGTACATAACATAGTTAGTTTCTTGAGGTTGTTGTACCGGTCTTCTTAATATTTTGGCTAGGTTTCTGCACTGGTTTGGGTATTGTAGCAGCTGTCCCAACGTAATGTTTGATTTTAGGGCAAGGACGTCGTCGGCTATGTTGTATGACGTCAGTGAATCTACTACGGATGGTCCTCTTTTTCTGCGCGGCTTAGGAATTTCTTTCAAGTCTAAGTCCATCGGTTCGTCTTCATGGATCTCTACCTCCATTGGTGATACCCTATCTGGTTTTTTTCTGGCTCTTTGTTCATCATCGTCTGAGTGTTCTATTCTCCTCTTGGGTGGTCTTCCTGCTTTTCGGGTTACGTTGGTATTATACACCTTGTCATATTCTTCAATTTCGTAGTCGTCATCCCCTTCTATTTTGTAATGTTTAACACTCCTTGGTCGTCTTAGGTGTTCTTGGTTATCCGCTGGTCTTTTATCGCAATATCTGGCGATATGTCCATACTTCCCGCATTGGAAGCATTTGTCGTTTCTTCTTGGTTTAGTAGCGGGCTGTCGATTTCCGCTTTCAGCGGTTGGTCTTGTCGCTGCGTAATTCAAGGTAATTTCTTGTATCCTTTTTGTGATGTTACTCAGTTCATCCTCTAGTTTTTTGTGCTGTTGTTTTCCAGGTGTTTGCCTTCTTAGTATTCGCCGGCTTCTACTCGTCTTGCTGTGGAGATTGCTTCTTGTAATGTATCTGGTGATGTTACAGCAACGAACATTGCCATGTTCCCTTTTAACCCGCTCAAAAACATCTGTATTACGTAATTAAGTGGTAATCCTTCCTCGGGATCAACACGTGTCAGTAACTTTTTGAATTTCGTGGCGTACGAGTCTACTCTCTCATTTTCTTCCTGCACTAGTTCATTAAGCTCTTTCTGCCATTGATGCTGTTTCTCTGGGATCGCGAAGTACTCAATCAACAGTTGATGGAAACTTTCGTTGTTTTGTTTCTCATCTCTCCATTCTCTAATGTTACCTCTCTGCTTTCTATACCAGTCTGCGGCTAACCCACTCAGGTATCTGGGTGCAATTTGAAGTTTTCGTTCGTCGATTCAATTGTTCGCATTTGCCGTCTTCTCGAATTTTTCCATCCATTCGATCGGGTCGTCATCTTCTTTACCGGCGAAGGTTCTAATCTTCATGTAATTTGCTTCTTGAGCCCGGGTCTTTCTCCTGCGGTATGTCTTAGCAGCCGAGTTATTTCTTCCAGGAGTGGTTGGAATTGTTCTTTATCCATAATTGTGATCCTTTTGTACTTACTGGCAATCTTCTTTTTCTTTCTTTAGATGTGTTGTTCACGAAAAATATTGGAGGGGATAATGCTTTGTCACGATTAATTCGAATCTTACAGTCACCACCAAATTGTTGGGGATTATAACGGTGAGTCTGTCGCTACATCGCGATCGCCGATCGTGTAACGTTGAAAGAGGCATGAAGATGTGACACGAGGTAAGTGAAAGTGTTAGACAATAGTCTGAGTTTTATAGTAAAAGGATGGTATTTTATTGTTGCTTTTTTTCTAGTACATTCCTCTCTTTATATACATGTTAAGAAATCCCAAAAATTCCAAAAATCCCTCAAGCCCCAATTAAACCCCAATTGGGTGAGGATGACATATGTTGAATCTATCTAATTTTTCGGTCCCTCTTACAATATCTATCTATTTCCTCCAATGGCGATATTGGAAATGTGTCTTTTATTGAAGCTCCAAGTGGCAACACAAACCTATTTTCATTCTTTAGTACTACTTTATTGGCCGTTTATTTTATGTCAACAGGTAATATTTATTATGATACATATTACAATATTGAATATAAAATTAATAACACTGATTTATATATATTTTTAGGAGACAGAAGTTCAATTTCTCCATGGGATTTGAGTGAAAATCATACATTGGCCTTTATATTAGTTTTTTTCTCATTTTCTACGGCGATTTATTTAATGAATTTATTAATTGGATTGCTTAACACCGCAATCAATGATACAAATAATGAAGAGTCGCTTTTACACTTAAGGGGAGAGGTATATACAGTATATATTATATATATATTATTTACAATTATTAGGATAAATATATTAATTATTGCTTATAGATTTTGGCGGAGATAGAACTTTTTGTAATGTTTCCCCGTCAAAGAAGAAAAGATTGGTTTCCGAAAACCTTGTAATTATTTCACATACATATATATTTGCATTTTACTTCGGGTATTGATTCTACCAGTTTCTAACATATAATTTATTTCTTTAGATATTATGAAATATCTGTCGAAGAACTTAAAAGATGTGTTAAGAAGTTAGAAGATGATGCCAAAAAAGAAGTATCACGACCACGCTTGTCCGATGCTGTTAGAAAGATTGTTGAATATGAAAAAAGTGTTAAAGAAAAAATTGATAAGTTAAATGAAAGGATTTCTATATTGGAAGCAAAGTTTGATAGGCTATTCGATCGAAAAAATAACAATAATGAGGAAGATTATGAGGAATATGAAGATGAGGAAGATGAAGGTGAGGAAGATGAAGGTGAGGAAGATGAAGGTGAGGAAGATGAAGATTAGAAGGATGAATATGACAAATATTACGTAATATTAGGAATTTAGAAGATGAGGAAATAATGAGGAAGATAAATAAAATAGTATTATTCTTTGGGAAAATTGTAGTGGTTTATTTTTATAATTTTAACATTCACTAATTTTTTTTGAAATTTATTTCTCAATGACATATGTATGCTAAGACCTCATTTTAGCATAAATACTACTCATTAAAATATGCACCGTGTGATTACAGTACTATGTATACTCGACAAATATAAACTTAGCGACTTGCGCGTCTTAGTTACTCTATAAAAATCGATTTGGCCTAGTCAATAAGTATACTTTTTTTTTTTTCTTCACTTCCTGGATATGAAGTAAATATATTTGCAAATCCCTCGTACCGTTGTCTAGGTATGTGTACGTACTGTTAATAGCTAAATACAGTAATTAAACCACTGTCTTACTTTCTATAATTGCATATGTTCAATCACATTACAGTACATTATTCTCGCTCAGATCTTTATTAAAAACAATAATATATGAAAAAATAATAATATGGGAATAGTGCTATGATTCTTATAAGTCGTACTATAATTACAAATAATTCACAATGCTGTGCTACCATATGACCTTTTGTTTCCTTCCTAAAATACAAATTTTACAACTTCATACGTTCTTTAAATATTATGCAACCACTTTATTTTCTGTAACCCATATTTATTACATTTCTTGAGTCCAATATTTTTATATTCGAAGAAAAATAAGGAGTTCTATAAAGATCTTTATAAAAAAATTGTTCAATTGTTAAAATGGCAAAAAATTATTTTAAAAATTAAAAATTTTTTTTATATTATAAAATTAGTAGTCTAATGAAGGTTGAAAAGCAAGTCACCAAGCGATGCAAATAGTTGGTGAGCAAGTTTTCAAGCAATCATTTATATTTACTACTTATTTATTTCCTATTTGATTTTTTTTTTTTATAAATAAATAAATATAAATATATATACTGTATATATAGAGGTTGAATTCAAGTTACCAAGCCGGCATACAGGTCAACTCTCGATAAAAGAAAGATTACGCAAATTTCCACAATTAGTTGATGATCAAAGAACATCAAGTTGGACACTTTAGTAAATCTCATTTTAGTCATGATCAACATTTTTTCCGGGCCCCGGCTAATTCGATAAAAGAAATTCTGACACACGGTTCCCTTTTCGAAAAAAGCCAATACAAAATCCTAAAGTTTTAAATATATGAGAAAAAGTTTTTTAATGTCAAATAATTAAAAATTTTATGTTACTAATAAATAAAATAAGTAACGTATTTTATTTGAGACAATTTTTAATTACTAATTACTCAAAATTATTGTAGTTATATAAACTTGAGCTATTTATTGTTTTCCATCCAGAGAGAAGGCTACTAAATAAGTTTGTACTATATATTCCTTTATATTGCTTGATTATAATCCGGAAATAATCGCATTTTTTTATCTGAGCTGCCTGATATAAGTTGGATGTCATCTGGTGACAAGGTCACATTATAAATCGTATTAGTATGTGTTAAGATATTAGATTCAGATCTAAATTCTTGAGAGATCACAACTATACCATTATGCCTAAGCTGTTAACTACCAATTAAGTATAAAGGATTTTTTTGACTAAATTATAAGGATGAAAAGAAAAATTGGTTACTTATATGCTTCTTTGTTAATTAAGTGATTATAGAGAAACTTGAATTAAGAGAAAAAATGGCAGCTTACCTTACAGTCTTCTTATTCACTTCTGGAAAGAATAAATATTTTTAAATTGTATACTAAAGTTCTTTTCAAAATTTATCTTTGCAGAAAAAACTTTTGATATAACTAGATATAAATTTACTTAACAAATATAATGAAAGTATGCTTACATTATTTAATCGTATTTAAAGTAAAGAACATAATTTAGATCAATTAAATCATCTATTTTATGAATTTATTCAATAAATATTAATAAATATAATTTCCATATGTAATAATAATTAAAGTAAAGAATATAACTCAGATCAATTAAACCACCTATGATATAAATTTACTCAACAAATATTAATGAAAATATGCCTACTATCTGTAATCGTAGTTAAAGTAAAGAATATAATACATATTAATCAAACACCTTTGATATGAATTTACTTAACAAATATTAGTGAAATATGCTTTCCACTTGTAATCGTAGTTAAAGTAGATAATATAACACCGATTAATTAAACAACCTTATAAATTCACTCAACAAATATTAATGAAAATATGCTTACTGTCAGTAATTATTGTTAAAGTAAAGAATATAACTCAGATTAATTAGAACACCTTTGATATTAATTTAATTCATTAAAGTCTTTATTACAATTTTTTGTTGCATTAATAAATACTTAAGGTGACTGACTGATCATTCTTTTATATTTGATTCGCATTATTTAGAACATGTGATTAATTAAACCAGTAAAATATCCGGCAGATAAAATTCGATAAAAGAAAGTTCAATTATACTGTAGAAGGATCAACATTTTTGTCAGAGTATCGAAATTGATGCATTTGACGTTAAAATTAATTAAGTGATTAATACAACCAATTATAATAATGATTAATCCTTCTTTTATCGATAGTTGACTAGTAATGCAGTAGTAAAGTTTTACAAAACTCCCTAAAATACGAATATTCAACTTACCCGCTATAAAAATCAATTATACACAAGATCAAATCCTTCTAATGTACGTATAAATTTTCGAAACGAATAAATATTTTATATAAACGCTTCTTTAACATATATTCTGTAATATCAAGATCGTAATTAATATTTTATAGGGATTGCTAAATTGTAATAGCCATTTTATAATTAAACTTGCTATAAGTCGAGAATTGTCAATTAGTTAAAAAATTTGTGATTTTACGTAACAAGTAATAAAAATCTGTCCGAAAAACAAACCGCCTGCAATATTAAAATGAAATCTAATGATTTCTTCTTATCCTAATATTTATTTCTACAACAGAACTTAATTTAAAACTGAAAATATAAAAATAAATTAAATTGGTAAATTGTTTTCTAAATTTGATTACAAAAAATAATGAACCTACCAACTGGGATTACTAACAATATGGACGCATTTAAGTACTTTATCGTATCGAAAAGATGAGTAATAAAATGTGTTTAATTTAACTCATATTCAGGGGTTATTATAAACAAAAACACATGAATAATTGAGAGAACAAGTAACGAAAAAAATGACTGATTCAGCATACTGTCTGAAATTTTAAGAATAAAAGTATAATTAAGTTTCTTTTCGTTTATATCTGTTCAAGTAACGATAACAGAACACGCTCGATCAACTTACAATATGTAATATAATGAATACAACACTTTAGATATTAATTTACGAATACCTAATTCAAATTATCGTCTTTAATATAACAAACAACAAAAATTTTTATTTTGTATAAATATTTTAAACAAATATAAAATTATACGTTTTCTATTTCAAGGAAAATGCACTGTATAAGAAATTCCGTTTTGTCTGAATTTTGAAATATTGTAACGGACGATAAAAACATACAATTCAAATTACCATCTATGATATTATTGCAGCATATAAGTAAATTACCAAACACTTGTATTTCAAAATATTATAACCGAGCCGGCTGAATTGTCTATTTGCTTAAGACACTACAAATTTTTTATTCATCATCAAAATAATTACCCATATAAGAATCATTTTATTAATTATATCATTCTAATAGGGATATACTATTTTGATCGTAAACATTCTTATAATATTAGGTGTTTCAAATAATTAAATTACATGTGTACTACAAATATGTCCGAGCTTTAGCGAAGAAAATTTGTACATGTATGAGCAAAAGGATATATTGCTAAGGTTATTTTATTGTAGCCATCAGTTTTCAAATAATTTGACGTTACATCATTGTTAGATAAATCTATCGCATTCTAATCCAAACATAGCAGCCCATTTTTTCATGTAAAGTACTGTATATTGGGTTGGGAGAAGATAAATAAAGGAATATGCACTGATACTCCTTGCTATATATTTATGAATATCACTTGTATAAATGCGTTTTGCTCAGAAAATCAGTGTATATACTGTATGTTATCATTTCAGTCGATTTTTACTTCAATGACTCTTAATGGGGATCAATTATATATCACACTTTTGATAATATTGCAAGAAACATTATGCAAGGAATTTTCGGATAAATATGATGAAATAGAAAAGGAAGAAAATTTTGAATGCATTTTTATCATTCCTTTCTTGTATGAACAGTGCCATATTTCTTCCCAAACTTACAATATTGCCAAGTCAATGGACTAGCTTGAGAAAATTCTTTCAACATATGATGAAAAAAAGATTCAAAAACTTTTTTATATGTTCTATAATAATTTTATTTTATTAGCTAACAAAATATGAGAGAATAGAGTTTTTGTTTCTAATGGTAATAAATACAAGCTTTTATTGAGTTACAATTATATGTATTTTTGAGGAGATTAGAAACAATGTAAGATATTTTCAGTATTTGCTCTTAATTCACTGTTATTCTTTATACAAGGTAAACTATGAAAGCTTTACATCATCAATGACCTGAATTGTAATATGATTATGTAATGAAAGACATAAATATAATCATGAAGAATTTAAAAGGTTTACTAATATATCAGATATTATTGGAGCTATTATGAAATTCATATTATCTTAGCTGATGCATCAAAAAAGATCTTCAAACTTTTTTTAATTGCAAAAATCAATGTTATATTCAATGCCAAGTAATTTTTATGCTGATGAAATTTTTATTGATTCTTTAATTAATTGGCCTGGCTTTATATATAATGCATATATGTATGAAGTCCAGATTTTTATAAAAACAAATTATGTTATATTTTAAATAGTTAAAAGAGTTAGTATAGCTTGTAAAATAACAGTATATGCATTTATTATTTATAATTTTTAGAAATATGTGATAACATATATATAGTGATGTTTAC